ATCTGTGTATAACCGACTGTGACTAGTAATAATCAGATACATAGAGATTAGAGATGCATGTGCAAACATCTAAGTGTTAGTAGCATTAAAAATGAGTCTTTCTGTAAGAAATAGTATATTTTAAAATGAAATGGAGATCTTTTTAAAATGTTAAAACTCATTCAGTTTTATGGCTTACAGGGCTTATACTGAGTTCAATAATGTATAACTGTATTAATTCAACAGCAAACCTAAAAATTTTATAACCACTTTTGAAAGAGATGTATCTTTCTCTGGAAACTGTTATTGAGTATGTTAAAGCTGTAATGAAGTGCTTCTTCTAAAAAAAAGTAATTTAAAAATATTAAATAATTTTAAACCAAATGTTTTCCCTAAAAAATCTTATTAAAGTTAATTCCTCCCTGCCTTATAAGCTGTAATTTATTGCCTAGAACTTGCTGTGTAGATTCTACATACTGTCTCTACACCCTAAATTTCAGGTAATTTCTCTATGACCTTTAAAATGCTTCCATTATATGTGGCACCAATCATACCTGAGTTACTCTCTCATACATGTGTACATATCTTAGGAATAGCAAAAGCTGAGAGGCAGAGGCCCGAACTGTCTTCTGTCTTTGAATATGATCACTGTTGCTCTAGTAATTGTTGAATTAGAAGGCTAGCACTTGACTTTTGACTTGTCCTAGGAACATAGAATGGGCAAGACATCAAGAATGCAGCTTTGACTGTGTTGCAGGTTTTTTTTTGTGTGTGTGTGTGTGCAATAAATACACCACAATGAAATCCTATATTGCTTCTCAGGGAAAGGAAAAGACAAATCAAACCCTTACACCACTGAAATTTCATTTCTTCACTGAAATTTCATTTCTTCTGAATGCTAAGTCAAAACTGGTGATGGGTGGAGGGCTAGAAAGATGGCTCAGTGGTTAAGAGCACTGTCTGCTCTTGCAGAGGACCCAGGTTCAGTTCCCAGCACTGACATGGCAGCTAACAACTGTCTATAACTCCAGTTTAGGGGATCTGACACTCTCATCTGATCTCCACAAGCATTGTATGACACAGGTACATTTTACATACATGCAGGCAAAAGTACTCATCCACATTAAAAAAAAAAACCTGGTGATGGGAATGGTGTTACAGATTCAATAACTGTTAGGTTATCCTTACATACCTGGCATATAATAGGTGCTTGTTCAAATTTGGCAGCTTTAAACTTTTCCTTAGAAAAATTGTAGCATTTCAGTGGATGTGAAGTG